TGGCAAGGGGAGAAACGAGGGGTAGGGGGTGGAACGATGCGTCACAAACCTACGTGTGATTTTCACGAGTACGTGCTACTAGTAGAGCTATACTAGTTTCTCCTCGTGTGTTTTACAGTATCTCTAAAAGCGATGCCTATACTTATTCTCACTCGTTTACGGATTCTACCGGATTCGATTATTTTCATACGCTTTTACCGATTTTCCATCGTCGTGCTGCGAGAGAGAGAGAGAGAGAGAGAGAGAGAGAGAGAGAGAGAGAGAGAGAGAGAGAGAGAGAAAGAAAGATTGAAAATCAAATCTCATAGTAGTTCGTAAAATCTCTTTTTTTAAACCATCACCCACTCACTCCTATTTTCTTCTTGTTTTTTTTCCTTTCCTTTTCTTTTTCTTTCTTTTTTTTTTTTTCAAATTGTTTCGAAAGAATCAAAAATGAAGTTGAAAAAGAAAAGGAAGAGGAGAAGTAAGAAGAAGAACTTTCTTCTCTTTTTTTTCTTTTTTTAGTTCGGAGAACATCGATCGTCTCGATTAACTTCCGGAATTATGGAAAAAGACGCTTCGTTTCTGTTCATTGAGTCAGTTCTTACGTATGTACATATGAAGAGAGTAATATCTTATTACGATTTTAACGATTTCCGGTCCATGTTAGACTCACACACATACATATCTATACGTTTATACGTTAGTTGTATACATAGATTAGATAGATGGATAGATAGATAGTTCGAGAATGCGAGTTTAACGTTAACGATTAAAGGTAAGACGTAAAGCAGACGCATCAGGGAAAGTTTAAAAAGATTGCTTTTAGGTTTTATGTGGGCGCTTAAAATCCCTAAATCTCTTCTAATCACGTATCCGACGATGACCGAAACAGACCACCATCTAATTCCTAAGATCATCATTCTATGTTTTACTTATCTCTGAAGATCAACAAATCTCTCTCTCTTTCTCGTTGTTACCATTTATAAATTTGTAATAATAATTCGACCGATCTTTCGAATCGATATTCTCAATAAAATAATAGTAAATGTTTTACTTACATTTTTTTTTTTTTGTAATGAGTGACTGAACGAAAGAGAGACAGAGAGGAAAAATTTATTTTTTCGAATTATAATCTCATCGTGGTTATAATAATGATCACCTTCTCTCATGGTGCAGCACCATACATTGTAAACGAGTGCGGTGTCGTTTATTACGTTTGGTCCTGTCGTAGTACGAAGTAGTAACGACAGATCATGGATTACAACTGCGACACGTGTTACGGACACGTTTACTGGCATGACGTTAACACGTGCATCGACGAGAGGACACCAGGATGGTGAGGGAGGGTGTAGAAGAGTTAGGGAGGTATATACGCTCATACACAGATACATATATGCGCACGAATACACATAGCCATTGGTTATATGAGAACACCAGGGGACATCCAGGACGCAAGCCAGGACATAACCCTGGATCCAACCCAGGACACGAATAAGAGAGTAGATTCTCGCGTCCGTTCTGCGGAATGATTTACGTGCGGTCTCACGTAACGCCAGCTGGAGACGACTGTCCAAAGGTGTTCAAAAGTTACCATGGAAATCAACTTTAGACTTTAATGTCCTCTTTGATCGTTAAATCGACCATCGAACCACGTTTATGTCTCTCTATCTCTCTCTCTTTCTCTCTTGAGATTTCGTTATTTTTTTTTTTTTTTTTTTTTTTTTTTTTTTTTGTTGACTTTACGATTTCCGTACTACTACTGTACCTCATCCAATGTAATATTCTAAAAGCATAGATATATATCGTTTTTTTTTCTTTTTTGCGTGTATTTTCCTGATCTAATTTTTTCCTAGACGATGTCTCCTTTTCTTCTTCTCTCTTTCACAAGAGAAAGAGAGAGAGAGAGAGAGTGTGACTCAGCAGCAGGCGGCGGGTCACTGGCAAAGATCCAAATGCCACCTTGTTCCGTGTCCTCCATGGATATTCTCCCTCTTTACAATTTCCTTTTTTTTTTACCCTTTTAACATTTCGTATCTCTGACTCTGACGAATCTGACTCGGTATTTCTTCTTTTCGTATTTATTAAAGTTACGCGAATGAAAAATAATAAAAGGAATAAAAGAAGTAAATGAAAGATAAAGAAGAATATTCGCTTATGTTCGTTCTCTTTTTAGAATATTTTACGCGGAATGAAAAACTCGATTTAAGACCAAGAAATATATATATATATTTATATATATATATATAAGTCGTTCTCTCAGCTAATTGAATTCAATCAAAATTGCTACTCTAATTGCAGCGTCAAATTTCTATCCATCTATCTATCTATTTATCTATCTCTTGTACACGTGATCTCTCATATAACCCTCACCTTCAAAAGTTGTTCATCTTTCTCTCTCTCTATTTTCAACCCTCTAACCTCATCTACCCTATCCATCCCTCCCTCCTTGTTCCGCATACTTTTCCTCTCTTCCTAAAGGCCGAACTTTCGAGTTTGCGGAACTGAATCTTAAGTATCCGGATCTTCTATTCCCTCCTTCGTTCTCACCCTCTCTCTCTCTCTCTCTTCCCCTCTCTCTCCAATTTAAACTTCGGTCACGAATGTTATATCGTCGTGCCCTTGAAAGCGGGTTAACTCGGGACGAATGGGGTGACATTCGCGAATTGCGTGACACTTTATTATCGAAATTATTAAAAAGTGAAATCCGATGAAAAGGAAAACGATATCGTTCCTGTTATATCCAATGTTGTTTCTCTCTCTCTCTCTCTTTCTCTATCTCTCTTTTTTTTTTTGAGGTCGAGAAGAGGCAAGTGAAAAAAAAGTTGACGCCATAAATTCATCGTCGCTCTGTCGTCGTTATCGTTAAAAACGTTGAGAGAGATATAGAAAGAGAGAGGGAGAGAGAGTGTGTGAGAGAAGGGATGAGAAGGAGCAAAGGGGAAGTAAGAACACACGTCTACGATAGAATATTTCTTACTCTAAAACTCCTCATGAGATTTCTTAGGATCATATTTTAACCATTCCCCTCTATCCTCATCACGTTACTCTCCCTCACACACCCTCCACTTTTTCTTTTTTTTTCTTTTCAACTATTAGATATCGCGATGAAAACTTTATGTTTCGATCGTATATTTATTTACTTTTTTCTTCCTTCCTTTTTTTTTCTTTTTTTTTTTTCGTTTCGTTTCGTCGACGAAAATCTCAATGTCGTTCTCTCGCGTTTCCCCTTTTTCTATCTCTTTCTCTCTCTTTCCTTTATTTTTTTTTTTTACCTTGTTTCTTTTTTTACATCTCGAGTACAAATTTCGTTTCTTCACATTCGAGATGATGGGATTCGAATCGATGATAGAGAATAGACGCGCATATACACATAAATACACATAGAGACACAATCGCACAAACATACACATAGAGATAAACGACATTTTCCTTTCATTCGTCGTGTTTATATCTTCTTGTTTATATAATATCTCCAAGTTTGTTTCTTTCTTTTTTTTTTTTTAATTATTTTTGTTCTCTTTTCTCTTTGTTTTTTTTTTTTTTTTTGTGTAGAAGAACTATTTAGAAGAAAAGGAAAAAAAAAGATTTACTTTGTGATTTTCATTGTCAGAGATAGAGAAAGACGGAAAGAGAGAAAGAGATAGAAGATTTCTCTATTGTTTATTGCTGTCCTACTGATCGAACAAAGAAGAGAAAAGACATTAGTTCTCTTTTATCGTTATTTTACGCCTCGTTATCACCTTTCTCGTCTTTCCTATTGCAAAATCTTTGTAATATCTATAATACATATATACATATATATATACGTATGTACTTAGTACCACATATTTATGATGTAATTTAAGCGGGAAAGAAAGTCAACGAGAAAAGAAAAGAAAAGAAGAGAAAAGGAAAAAAATAAGAAGACAAAAGAAAAGAGGAAAGAAAAGAAAAGAAAAGAAAAGAAAAGAAAAGAAAAAAAGAACAAATAAACAACAAAGAAAAGAGAAAATGGTGTTGTACGAAGAAAAAGCGTTAAGTCAAGCGTCGTTTGCCCTCTCTTGGTCCGTACGGGCTGACAATCATCGAACAGCTGACACACGCGGTCGCACGATAAAAATAGACCCTTCCAGAGAGGGAGAGCGAGAGAGAGAGAGAGAGAGAGAGAGAAAGAAAGAGAGAAAATCGAACTTTTACGGGTCAGAGAGACGAATAAACGTGCGCTCGCGCACGCGAATAAAAGAAAAAGAGAACAACATAGAAAGAGAAATATAAAGAGAGAGAGAGAGACGGAAGTCGTCGTCGTAGATCGATTCCGGAATCTTTCGAGAATTTCAACGATCGAAAAAATTGAAGAATATTCTTACGAGAGAAATATTCAAAGAGAAAAGAAATAGAAAAAAAAAAAAAACGAGAACAAGAAATAAATGAAACGAAAAACACACATTAAAAAAAAAAAGGAAAGAGAAAAAAAAAATATAGAAATTCTATCTATTCCATCATCATTCTTCTTCACCTCATTCTCCTTCTCTTCTTTCTTCTCTTTCTTGTCCCTTTTTTATCAACCCTCTACTCCCTCCTCGTTCTCTCGTTCACCCTCTCTCTTCTAAACCACACCTCGCACATTATCCATTTTTTTTTCCTTTTCTTCTTTTTTTTTCCTTTCTTTCTTTCTTTCTTTCTTTTCTCGAGAGCACGTATTCGATTAGAATGCGACTAAGCTTAGTTTTCTATCGATGCGTAAGACGACAAATAAAAAAAAACAACGGCGAAAAGAATGAATGGAGATGCCTCGAATAACATTCATAATAGAGTCCACGCGATTCCGACCGAGAGCACGTTCTTTTCGTCTCTCTCTCTCCTCTCTCTTTTTCTCTATCTGTTTTTTCTGTTTCTGTTTCTGTCTATCTTTCTCTCTCCTCTCTTTCTCTCTCTTTCTCTCTCTCTCTCTCTCTCTCTTTTCGTCTCTGTCTGTTTCTGTCTCCCTTTCTTTTAACTTCTTTTCGATCTATACGACCCACCCTCTCGTTCGAAAGCAGAAGTAAAACTCAAGAAAATGTTCCAACGACGATTGTTCATCTTCCGGTCCGATCCTTCGCGAATGTCACTGAATTTTTCTGTTACTTTTTTTTTTTTTTTTTTTTTAATAATAATAATAATAATAGTAATAATAATAATAATAATAATAATAATAATAATAATAATAATCACCCAACTCGAAAGAGATGACAGGAAATTTCTTCTGACTTGTGTATCTTTTTCCTCTTCTTTTTCTTCTTCCACTTGTTCTTCTTTTTTGTCTTCGCCTTCTTCGTCTTCGTCGTCTTTTCCCTTTTTCCTCCCTTTTTTTTTTTATATTTATTTCCTCCTTTTCTCTTCTTCACTGTCTCTTCTTCCACGTGTCTCCTTCCTTCTCGCTCTCTCTCTCTCTCTCTCTTTCTCACTTTCTCTTTCTGGTTTTTTCTTTACTTTCCTTCTTTAAATCCTTTTCACACGACGATCACTGCTCCCCTGTTTTATTTCTCTCTTCCCCCTTTCTTTTTTTCCTTGTTTTCTCTTATTTTCTTTTTATTGCCCTAATTTTTTTCCCTCTTCTCCCGTCACCGGTATCCTCTCGCCTCATCCCCATAACTCTCCCTCCCACCCTCCGTTCCACCCTCGAATTTAGGTTACCTCCTACTTCAAGCTCTCGTTTCGTTTCTAAAGTATAGCAAAAGTATAAAAGAAAAATGAAAGTGAGTCTCCTTCCTCCCTACCTACCTCCCTCCCTCCCTTCCTTCCTTCCTTCCTTTCTCTTATCCACCCACAACGAATGCGCTTTCCTCTTTTTCTAATTCTCTAAAACCCCATCCCCGGAACCCCCGCTTGGTTATTTCCTCCCGTTTTTTTTTTATTTTTCCTTTCCGTTTATATTCTTTCTTCCTGCGGAACGCAAGCACTAGAACGGCGTGCGGAATTCGAACCGGGGTTTCGATTTGTTAGCGGCACCCGCTTGGAGCTGGTCGGCATAACTGCGTTCGAGTAGACCGCTCGCTCCCGAATTCTCCCTCTTCCTCTTTCATCCTCTCTCTCTCTCTCTCTCTCTTTTTCTCTTACTCTCGCACCTTCTGCACTCCTCTCTCTCTCTTTCTCTCTATCTATCTTACTCTGTCTCGCTTACTCTGTCTGGTGGCCTCCTTTCTCGCTCTCGCTCTCCTTTTTCCCTCTCTCCCTCTTTCGTAAACACCTCTACCCTCCTCCTACTCCTTCTTCTTCTTCTTCTCCTTCTCTTCCTCCTCCTTCTCTTCGATCCAAACCCGCTATCTTACCGATCTAAAATTACCGCAGAAACGATGAACGTCGCACTCTCTCGTTCTATCTCCCTCTCTCTCTCTCTCTTGCTCTCTCTCTCTCGCTCTCTCTCTCTCTCTCTCTCTCAGTCATTCTTCGCTACCGAGTTTTCCTCTTCCTCTCTTCCTTCTTTCTCTCTTCCTTCTCTGCTTCCTCCCTCTGACCTCTCGCGTGCTTTTCATCGCACACGCGCTTCCAAAAAGGAGTGTCGGGGTGAGCGACTCGTTCTTCTTTCTCTTTCTCTCTCTCTCTCTATCTCTCTCTCTCTCTCTTTATCTTTATCTTTCTTCCTCCCTTATTTTCTCAGTTTCTTTCTATATCGCCTTTGATTACCAGTAGATCATGTTTATGGATCGATATCTCGACATTTAGAGAGACGAAGGGGAACACTCGATCGATACACACACCCACACATGTATGTATAAATGTATGTATATGGATAGCTCGTTGATCAATCAGATCCTTTAGATCGAATTGCTCGTTTGATCAATAAAATATCTATCATGATAAAGAGGTTTGAAACAGATTATCACTTTTTATCATAAGCGATGAAACAAAAGGGAGAGAGATAAAAAAATATAGATAGATAGATAGAGAGAGAAAGAGAAATAAGTAAGTACTTATCTATACATACAGAGTATTTGTAATATACTCTGTGTATTCATTGAATAGTTGAGATATGGAGAAAGAGAGAGAGAGAGAGAGAGAGAGAGAAAAAAAAATAGAAGAAGATGAAGAAAAAAAGAAAAGATTTCGTAAACATATTGATATAATCCATACATATTTTTTTTCTACGTAGATATTCTAAACAATTCAAATCGTATAAATTCCAAATTAAAACTCTACGTAATTCTACGAAATCGCGAAAACAAAATCTTTCGAATGATTTTACGAGTTAGAATATTTTTCTTTTCCCTCTCTTTCTCCATCTCTCTCTCTCTCTCTCTCTCTCTCTCTCTATGCCTCTCTGTCTTTCTGTCTCTTATTTTCTACGACGTGTCGAAACTATCTTTGTTTAGTTCGATCTCTCGATTTTTAGAGTGCACAATGGCGTAGTATGTGCACACGTTATGTCCTATAAATTTCTGTTGAGTGTTTCACGCGTCATAAACTTATGAATGAGATTGAGAGAGAAAGAGAAACACAAAGAGAGAGGAAGAGATAGAGAGAGAGAAAGAGAGAATAGTTCGAACGTAAGCTTTTGTCAATGCAAAAACGAAGGTAATCAAACACATTGAATGAATATAGGTGGGAGTCGTCATCTTTTCAGTATTTCATCTCAGACGATGAGAAATCGTTCCTAACGTTTTATCGATCCTCCTACGAAAGAACACTCGACGTAAATTTTCCATTAATGATCCTCTAACACGCACACATACGCATACACAGTGAACGAGAACGAGCGAGAACAACCAAGAGAAAGAGTGAGAGAGAGAGAGAGAGAGAGAGAGAGAGAGAGAGAGAGTAAAGATCCTTTCACAAAGAGAATATCTAAGTTGAAATCGCTCGACTATATTATTTTCAAAGCTTATACTCACGAATTATAGGCAAGTACTTACTTACACATACGTATTTATACTATTCGTTTTGCCAAATTCAATCAAGTGTTGATTTCTATTCATGTATTTACCGAAATAAATTCGTGACTTTGAACGCACCTGTCGCGTTTCTATTTCGATATTTACTTTATATATAAGTCCGTATGTATGTATGTATGTATAAATTATTTAATTTCGCGATTAATCTAAAAGATTTAAACAACGTATGTTTAAAAAGAAAGTGCGAGAGAGAAAGAGAGAATATGAATTAGATAACATTCAGTTATCACTTTCGTTATCAGGATTCTAAAAAAATTGTCCCGTCACAAGGCTCCTATCATCGCCTAGATATATATATATATAATACATACATACATATATTGAATTCGTTCGACGGCCGAACGTTTTCCTATGCGGCTTTGCCAAAAACAACGGGTGAATAATTTCAGTCGTCTTTCGTGATAAAAAGAGAGAGATAGATAGACATAGACAGAGAGAGAGAGGGAGAGGGAGAGAGAGAGATAACAAGTCGGTGGGGTCGAAAAATTGCATCCTTTACGTCACGCCGCGGAAAATGCATATGCATATATACGCTCCCACGTAAAACGCTTGAAAACGTTCGTATTCCGCAGGCGATGCTGTGATGCCGACGATATTTTGGCGAGCACCTAAATAGGAAGGCACCGTCACCAGTAACACGCGAGCACATGACCATTCCCAGGACCTTCCGTTTCCTCGTTCTAACGCGATATTGTATTCTACTTTCTCTCTCTCTCTCTCTCCTCTCTCTGTCTTTTTCTCTTTTGCTTTATCTCTGTCTCCCTTTTTTTTCTTTTTTTTTTTTCGTACGTACAGAAAGAATGAGAGAGAGAGAGAGAGAGAGAGAGAGAGAGAGAGAGAGAGAAAGGGAAAGAGAAAGGGAGAATGGTCGCTCAGCTCGGAGTTTTAATTAACCGGTTTGTTTGTTTGCAGCAGTTTGCCATCCCTGAAACTCTTACATAGACACGCACTACTACGTTTCTGTGCATTGATATATATATATATATACATATATATATATATGTATGTATGTATGGATATGTATGTATAGATGGATGGATGGGTGGATAGGTGGATGATTGTTTGGATGTAATGTATATATGTACTTGTGTATGTATGTATTTTATATACATATATTTATGTACGAATGCGTACGATTATAATTGGAGATGGTCTCCGATATATTTACGTCCTTCTCTAAGGATTTCTTCCTGATCCTGGATTTATCTGGACAGTTACACGATTTAATTAAATTACATTCGTTTAATTTTTAAGATCGTATAACGCGCGTTATGATTTAATCTGTACAAAACGATGATCGATAAATTAAACGAATAATCTTATTTTCAAATATTTGATAGAAGATCGAAGATCGAGAGAATATTTTCTTTTTTCCTTTTCTTTTTATTACAACGAATCGAGAAGAGATCCTTTAAGGAATAAAAAGAAGACGAATAAAAAAGGAAATAAAAAATGAAATAAAAAAAAAGGAAAAAAGAAAAAAAAAGAGAATCCAAGAAACTTTTGAACATTAGTATTAGATAAAATATGTGCAAGTTTATGACATTAGTTCATAGCCATCGTTAACTCATTGATAGATAGAGATCCATCTGTGTCTATGTATATATGTACATATATATCTATATATCTATCTATGTATGTATTTATGTATATACGTACACAAAACTCGTTCTCAAAACTCGCCAACAGCAGAATTACATTTTTTTCCGAAGGGCTTTCGTATCGTTATCCCTCCTCCTCCCTCTTTTTTCTGCTACCCTTTACCCCCTCCTCAAACATTGCGCGTTATCGAGCTTCATCCCCTTCTCTCTTTCTCTTTCTCTTTTCGTATAAAATAATAACGAACCTGAGTCGATCTCGCTGATTAATAATTAGTGATCATAGTATTGGCTTCGAGAGTAGGAAAATTCGTCGCCATGTTGAGAAAATAATACATACATATATATGTACATGTATATATGCGTACGTACGTATGTATCTCGATGATTAAAAAGTGCGTCGAAAGAAAGAAAAAAAAAGAAAAAAAAAAGAAAGAAAAATCTCTCCTTCCTCCTCCTCTTTCTCCCTCTCTCTGTTTATCATTCTTTCTTTTCCCTTTTTTTTCTTTTATTTTACGTTCACTCGCGACGACACACGCTTGATGAATTCCGCGCTTTTCCGCTTTTTTCTCTCTTTTTTTTTTTCTCTTCTTCTTCTTCTTCTTCTTCTTCTTCTTCTTCTTCCTCCTCAAACGACAATTCCTTTCGATGAAATTTTCAAAAGTCCCGAATGAACGAAGCTAGAGAGATATGTCCTCCGCACGAATATTTAACGTGCGAATTAAATCGTACGCGTTTGTCTCGTCTCGTTTCGCCTCTTTCTCTCTCTGTCTCTCTCTCTCTCTCTCTCTCTTTCTCTGTACGCGTACTACGTGTAAGGGAACAAGAGAAAGAGAAACAGAAAGAGAGAGAGAGAGAGAGAGAAAGAGAGAGAAAGAGATTACTCGTTTCATCTATGGAGAGACGCGCGTTTTGTTCATTCCGCGTTGAACGGGAGCGCGAGCGCGCGCGGTAACATCGAGTTAATTAAACTTTCAGTACGGCGAACAGGAGAAACGCAACAATTTTTTGTTGGTCGATATTTTCGATAGGCGCGAGTCTATTCTCTTCTTTTTTTTTCTCTCTTTGTCTCTCTTTCTCTTTGTCTCTCTATAGTCTCTCTTTCCCTTTCTCCTGGATACTCGGTCTGTTATGAATTTTTCTCTTCGTTATTTTTCTTTCTTTCTCTCTCTCTCTCTCTCTCTCTCTCTCTCTCTCTCTGTCTATTTTTTTCTCCTTTCTCGTTTCGTTTGATACTCGCTCGTTCTACGCGATGAATAATCGAGCATCCGAGACGAGTTTCTCGAGTAATTAAAAAAAAACGACTAGTTCAATGGTGGTAGAGAAAAAGAAAAAGAGAGAGAGAGAGGGAGAGAGAGAGACGACAACGACGACCACGACGACCACGACGACGAGAATGAAAAATATATTTCATCTTTGTCATCTAATATTTTATCGAAAGCAACCAACGATCGATCGTATCTTTCCGAAAAAAAAAAAGTAAAAATA